TCCCCCCACTGCCAGGGCTGGGGCGTGGTGGAGTTTGAGACGCCCGACGATGCCCGCGCCGCCATCGACCAGTTCGCCAACTCCGACTTCCGCGGCCGCGCGCTCTTCGTTCGCGAGGATCGCCCCGACGCGGTCCGCGACTCCGGTGAGCCCCGGCGCGAGCGCTCCGGCAGCTACGACCGCGCCCCGCGCGAGGGAGGCTACGACCGCGAGCGCTCCGGCGGCCGTGGCGGCTACGACCGCGCCCCGCGCAGCTACGGCGGCGGCTACGACCGCGCCCCGCGCGACGGCGGCCGCGGCGGCTACGACCGCGCGCCGCGCAGCTTCGAGCGTGGTGACGACCGCCCGCCGCGCCCGCGCCTGACGCCCGAGGAGCTCGAGGCGCAGCGCGTGCGCACCGTCTTCGTCACCGGCCTGGCACCGGACGTGGCGTGGCAGGATCTGAAGGACCACTTCAAGCCCGCGGGGCAGGTGGAGTTTGCGCGTGTTGTCATGGGCCAGGACGGCCTCTCCCGCGGCTTTGGCCTCGTGCGCTTCGCCAGCGAGGACGACGTGCAGCATGCCGTCGATACGCTGAGCCAGACCGAGCTGCGCGGCCAGACCATTTCGGTGCGCCCCGACGCCGGCTCCAACGCCCTGCGCGGCGGCCAGGCGCGGCAGGGCGGCTACGCCGCCGACCCCGACGTGGCGGTGGTCCTCCTGGGCCTGCCCCTGGCCTTCACCTGGCAGGACATGAAGGCGCTGTGCGAGCCCTACGGCGAGCTGGGCCGCGTGGAGCTGCGCACCCACGCCGACGGCACCAGCCGCGGCTGGGGCATGGTGCGCTTCAAGGACGCGGGCGAGGCCGAGGCCGCCATCCGCGCGCTCAACGGCACCGAGCTGGAAGGCCAGACGCTGCGCGCCAAGTTCGACGAGAGGGTGCAGCGGAACCCAGACCAGGGCTGGCACGGCGCGGAGGACAACTGAGTGGTACGGCGCTGAGTAGATAGGGGGTGTGCCAGGGGAGGTGCAAGGCACCACTTGCTGATGGATGAAACAGGGGACAGGGCGCGGAGAGGGAAGCGGCAAGCTGTGCCGGGCGCATGAGCGCCCATGCCGGGCGACCCCGAGGCGTCTCTCCTGAGCGCAAAACAACCCAGGGTCTGCTGTACCTCGAGAAGCTGCCTGGACCGTTGCTGTGTAACAATGTTGGAGCGATGTGGGTGCTGGCAGCAGTCGGCAAGAGAGCGGGGGAGGAGGAACGTGTCATCTTCCCCACAAGGCAACATGTGGGGACGTGGAAAACCCGGGAACTGGGAGATTAGAATACACGCTGCTGCCCCAGCAGGCACCCTTCGTAATCGAAAAGCCCAAAAATATCGCAAAAGGGAGGGTTTCGAGGCGTGAGAGCCGTGTATACTAACCACCTATACGATATGCGATCGTATCGTTTGGAACATTCGCATACGGGGACTCGAACCCCGGTCCCACGGGTTTTCTATATCCTCAGAGATGGGAGGTATGATTTTCGCACCGACATGAATGGTTTGCTTGTTTTGGGAACAGGACGGCAAGACGAAACTCCATTCGAGGCACTTCTATCCAGCGCGGAGGCAGCAGCATGTGTTCCCGGCAAACGCTCATGCCTGCGGACATGGCGCTTGGCAGATACATGCGGACGATTGCCTCGTCGCTCAATGCACTGCCCTGTTTGGCCAGACCTCGCCCAAGCCCTCGCATTTCCAACTTCCAAATCCCTTGAAAGGATACATCCCAGTATCGTTCCCCACACATGGCAGCATGAAGCAGGGGTCAGGGTGAAAGATGGCCGGGCTCCTGCGCAACGAGCGCCCGCAGCGCCTCGCGCAGCTCGGCCAGCAAGGCCTCTGCCTCGGGCCCGGAGCCGCAGCGATCCATGCGCCGCAGCAGGTCCGGCGCCAGCGCGTTGGCCCCCTCGCACCGGCGCAGCACGCCCTCCACGCTGACCCCCGGGGCCAGGGCCGGGTCGTCGTGCAGCAGCTCGATTAGCGTCAGCCGCAGCGCCAGCCGCGTCAGCGGCACGGGCGCCGCGCCACGGCGGTGGCTCAGCGTGCGCGTCAGCGCCTCGACACGCGCGGCGCCCCGCGACCCCGGCAGGCCCTCCGCGTCGCTGGCGAAGCGAGCGGCGTCGCGAGCCTGCGCCAGCTCCAGCCGCACCTGCGCGGGAAGAAAGGGGGAAGGCGGGGCATTGCACAGGGACGGCGGTGGTGTAGGAGCTGCGCTAATCAATCGCAGTCCAGGCGCTCGCACCCTGGGACGCTGGTCGGCCTCCCTGAGGAGGCTCCCTCTAAACCCAAACCCTTTAGCCCCACCACGTTCCTGCACTCCTTTTCCCCATCCAACAAGCAATCCAAACCACGCTCACCTGGCCGGCCAAGGGCCTCAGTAAGGGTGGGAAAACGCGGGCGCCCAGGCGAGACACCGACAGCGCGGGGTCCAGGGTCAAGCGCGAGCCTGGCCCCTCCTCTGCATCGCCGCCCTCCCCGCGCACCACCACCATCTGGCCGTCGGTCAGGGACATGAGCTCCTCCACGATCAGCGTGGGCAGCAGCGGGCCGGCAGCACCACCCCCCTCACGCCCCTCCCCCCGCCGCCTCCGGCCGCCTCCGCTCGCCGGGCCGCCGCCTCCAGGCGCTGCCGCCGCTCTGGGGACAGGGACGCCAGGAGCTGGGGGGAGGGGGAGAAGCGGGTGCCTGTGGCTGGAAGCCCCGGCACCACCAGCACCAGGGACAAGGAGCCGCCGCCCAGCCTGTGGTCCATCTTGGCGGCGCGCTGGACCAGGCTGGAAAGGAAGGCGCGGCGCTCCGCCTCGCCCACCGACACCAGCATGCCCTCCACCTCCACGTGCGAGGCCGGGTCGGGGGAGGAAAGCGCGGCCCCCGGGGTCTGGGCGGCGGCCGCGCTCAGGATGCCCCACGCCCGAACCTAGGAATGCAGTTGTGTGTGTGAAGGTGTGTGTGTTTGTGAGAGGGTGTGGTTTTAGAGGAGGAGGGTGGGCCATCAGAGAATTCAAATCACTGAGTGAACCAGGCGCCAGCGAGACAAGCACACTGCCAAGCCACACACAGGAATGGGGCCATTCCCCACTCTTCCCACCCCCGCGCCAACCTACCATGGGGGCGAGGCTGTCCAGGATCACGAGCGCGTGGCCCCCCGCCGCGCGCACTGCCTCCCCCGCCGCCACCGCCGCGCAGAGGAGGTACAGGCGCTGCGCCACGTTTGTCCCCGGCGAGGCGACGAAGCGCGTCACACCGGGGTCGACCGTGGCCGGCCCGACCCCGGCGCCGTCGGCGGGGCCGGTCGCGGCATACAGCGTGCGGAGGCCGGAGGCCACCGCGCCGTGGGCGACGGCCTGGCACAGCGCGGCGCGCTCGCCCGCGTCACGCCCGCTGAGCTGGACCGACTGGCCCAGGCCCAGGGGGGTCAGGACGTCGACGCAGGGCACGCCGGTGTACAGGGCCTCCGCGATCTGTTCCCGGTCAGCCATGGGAATCTGGGCCGCGAGCAGGGGAGCCCGGGGGCCCGGGGTGATGGAGGGGAGAGCAGCGGCCTGACCGCTCTGGCCCCTCCAGTCCAGAAGCTGGTCGGGGGACCAGGTGCGCCCCTCCAAGCACTTGCCAACTGCAGTGATCGGGTGGAGTGTGTGGGCAAGGGGAAGGGTGAGGGAACGGGCAGCGGCATCGAGATGCAGGCATGTTGACAAACAGGGGCGAGTTGGAGGTGACCACCTGCCCTTGTCCCTTCACCCAGTCCAGGCGTGACATGTCAGCGGCTTTCACATGTTGCTCCCAGAACACACCCTCCCTCCCGCCCCCCGCCTCACCAGGCACGTCGACCACGTAGTCACGCTTGGTCGTAGCGCCTACGGCATCATCCACGACTTGCAGGATGGCGCGGAGCCTGCACACCACCCCATCCCCGGCCTTGACCCCAGGGGAGGATTCCCTGAGCACCAGCGCAAAAATCGCACCGGCGCTAGTCCGCCACAGCAGCACCCTGCAATGCGGAATCGAGAATGAACTTCGATCTTTGGGAGGAGTGGTCTGACGGCCGAGGTGCAACACACTTGCAGCAGTGTATGTGTGCACACAATTCTCTCACACATCTATACACCACCCAGCGCACACCCAGACCCCTGCACCGTACCCCTGGGCTCCGGATGAAAAGTCCAGAGCCGTGCCGGGCTCGGCATCATTGTTGAGCCCCGTCACGAGCGCGGTGCCCTCTTGACAGAAGAGCACCTGTGCGGGGGAAAGGAAAAGATGTCCTGTGTCCCACGAGGCCACTACTGCAGAGTCTAGCATGCGTGCAGCTCAGGGAGTCGTTGCATCCGGGAACAGAGATCAGGAGCGCTGCCTCCCATGCAAGGTATACTTTGTCCTTCATTGAGATGCAACCCTCGGTGCCGAGGCTCCGATGCGGGGCCACACTCGGCACCCATTACACCCTAGAAGACCCCATTTTCCATTCCAGGACGCACCTTTCCGAGCTCCACCGCTCCAGCCTCGTACTTGCGCAGCGTCTCCAGCTGGTTTGGCGCCAGGGTGCGCTGCCGGAACACCCCCATCTCCGCCTCCCAGTCCTCCTCATCCACGCTGTGTCGCACTGCAAAGCTGCCGTGGCTCCTGGGACGCCTCGGAGGGAGCATGGAGGGCGTGAATGGCCGGCTTGGCCCCCGGCATGGTGGGTAATGGCCCGAGCACACCGCTCCCCCAGCTCCTGCAGCGGTGCTGGGCGCCTTTACCACCACCATCCAACAGGGTGTATTATCTGGCACCCGAGACTGGAAAATGATTCATTATGTGTGGGCTCGGATGCCCCATCGCTGCGAGCACTCGCGCACCGGGATTGGGACCGGGGCCGTGCTCCCGCATGCCGTGACATGGCTCCACGGGATGCCTTGGTGAAGTGTATGTCCCAGTAGGGATGACACAGGGTCTCGCACTCAAAGTCTCTGATACCAGCACAAGAGCACCCCGTTTCCTTCACTCTCCTAGACGTTCCTTATCGTCAACAGCACATGTGCGCAGTCCTCGAATGGCAGGCTCGGGGCGGGTTGATGATCATGGCCGGCCAGCTTCAATGCAATGCAATGCACCATGGTCTCGCGACAATGAGCGGAGGTCGGCAGTCTGTACACCGCGTCAGTGCAGAGACGACCCCTTGCGCGTCAGGCAGGAATCGCGCACTGATGCGCCGCTGCAATCAGGCACGCTCCCGGTTCCGACAGGCCTGATGTGGGCTTGAGTTCAGGGATGAGGCGTGCATCCGACTCCGCTGCAGCACCGCCGCAGCTCGAGTACCTCTTGCCCGTGGGATCAAAGGGCCCTGTGGGCGGGTGGGGTTGCGGTGGAGTGATTACCGAGTGGGCTTGAGGCCAGACAGCTCGTCATCTTCAGCGACAGAGCGGCTCCCCAGCCCCAGGTATGACTTCTCCCGACAGACCCACAAGCTGCCCCACGCTGGAGCAGCAGCAGTCACCTGCCAGGACCCTCTCCCGGCTCGAGGCACTCCAGCTCCCAGCTGTCATCCACCGCAACCCCCCTCTCAACCCCCCTCCCGCCCCCCAGACCCACCCAGGCTGCGGTGACGGACGCGGGTGGCCTCCCTGACTCCCCGCCGGCTGCGCGCGGCGCGCACCGCCTCCCACACCCCCGGCTCGCCCTCGCCGGCCGCGGCGACCATGGCCTCCAGCTCCTCGGGGGTGTGGCGCTGCAGCAGCACCAGGCAGGCCCGCGCGTCGCCCGGTGGCGCTCCCCCCGGCGCCCGCTCCAACAGCGCCGCCACGTGTTCGGGGCAGGCGGCCAGGTCGGGGCACAGCGTGCACAGCGCGGCCGACAGCCACAGGTCGCAGGCGCACACGCAGCAGTCCATGTCGGCGGTGTCGGCAAACAGGCCGCGCGCCGAGCGGCGCCGAGTCGGGGTGACGCTCGCCGGGGCGGGCGCGGGGCGCGCGCCGCTGGTCGAGGCTGCGGCCGCCCGGGGCGGCATGCGCTCCACAGCGCCGTACCAGCGCGTCAAGGCGGCACTTTCCGCCGCGCCGACGGAGCCCGCCGCGCCGACGGAGCCCGCCGCGCCGACGCCCTCGACACATGTGCTCCTCGCGTCGGCGCCCTCAGCAGATCTGCTCCTCACCGCCAGCGCCGCGCAGCCCGCAGACAGGCGCCGCCGCTCCTCCGTGGCGCGCAGGCAGACGTCCCCCGCCGCCAGCGCCACGGCCTCGGGCGGCGGCGGCAACAGCGGCACCTGCTGCGACGGCGCGGCGGCGGCCGCAGTGTTCGCCGCCTTACGCGCCGAGGCGGGCCGGGCGTCGGGCACCGACCGCGCCGGGCCGGCGCCGAGGCCGTCTAGGCCGGCGAGGGGCGGCGGCACTGCCCCGTGCATCTCCTCGCCACTGGGCAATCGTCCCGCCTCGCACACAGCCTCCGTCTTGACCTCGTCGTAGCCTTCCACCTTGGCCTCGCCACTCGGCCCTCCCGCCCCCCCGCCGTCTTCCCGCTCGACCCCACCGCCCGGCGGCCCGCGCTCCTCGGCGCCCGCCCGCGCGGGTGCAGCAGCGCCCCGCCTGGCCCCACCCTGGACGAGCGCCACCAGCAGCGAGTCGTGGCTCAGTGTGAGGGGCTTGCCGCTCTGGCGGTACTTGTCCAGGATGTCGGTGCCGTAGGGGATCCACTCCGCCGGCGCAAAATTCACCGCCTAAGATTTGAGGGGGAGAGGGGGTTTGGGATACCCAGTGTATGGCTGTGCATGCCTCTGCTTTGGCACTTTCCCCCTTGTCTATCCGGGCATCCACCAAACTCACTCCTCCACACCCCCAGCCACTCACAGACACCCCCCTCCCCCTAGCTACCCCCCACACACGCCTCCTCACCTCTGCGCAGTTGAACCCGGCGTTGAACCCGGCGTGGTAGGAGTCCGGCATGGTGATCATGAACTCGCCCGGGCGCTGGACAAAGCGGTAGACCGGCACGCCGCGCGCGCGGAGCTCGGCGGGCGACAGCAGCGTGACCAGCTGGTAGATGAGCCCCGGCGCGGCGGCGAACAGGCCCGGCAGTGCGTCGCGCATCGCGTCCTCCAGCGCGCGCGTGGCGGAGGGCGGCACGGTGTACCACACCTTCTCCGCGCCCATGTGGTGGTAGTTGACCGAGTACAGTGCGTGGTCCTCCACGTGCCAGGCGAAGGCGGAGAGGGCGGAGCCGACGTAGAGCCAGGGCACCATCACGCCCGTGATCAGCTCCTCGCCCAGCGCATGGCGCAGCACCGACCCGCGTCCCCGCGGCATGTTGTTCACGTTCCACGCCGCCTCCGCGTACGC